CTCCAGCCCTGCCCTCCAGCCCTGCCCTCCAGCCCTGCCCTCCAGCCCTGTTCAGCACTGCTGACCTAGGTTTGCGGGTGCAGGGGGGGTGGGGGGGGCGTCTCCTCCTCATGGAAGCGGCATGTACAGTGAGGCCTTCCTTCTCCCTTTGCCCCCGAGGTCAGAGAACAGTGGGTACACCCTCACTCCACTCCCCTGTGATAAGACTACTTCACTTTCACTCTGGGCCTTGAGGATGGGGAGGAGGCCTTAGCCTGAAAGCTAAGAAATGATCAATGATCACCTTCCTGCATGGCTGCCCATCTCTAGGCTCTGACCTTGCCCAGGGTGGCCCGTATGTGGGGTGGAAAGGGGAACGACACAGAAGCGAGTCCCCTGGGCCCCACATCTCCAGTCTAGTGTCCAGCAAGAACAGGGGTTGGCACCTTGGCGGCAGCTCACAGTTCTCTGGGCACTCCCGACGATGCCCACTTCAGGGACACACTGGGCACATGCGGCCTGGGCTCTGGCTCATTTCACGGACTACCTCTGGACCCCACGTGTGTAAATCCACAAGATGGGGGGGGGCAAACAACCCCACTGTTGGCAATGAAAACTCTACTGCCTCGCTGCTCACTGGGGCACTAAAGGTGACTCAGTTGTGTCCTCAGGCTACCAGAGCCATGAGTGTGTGTGCGTGTGCGCGCATACTGCTCTGCAGTCTCCCTGCCCTTTACACTGGTGTCTGGCTCCGTTTCCCTCCACGGCCCGGGCAGTGATTGGGGGCTATGGGACAAGGGTCTATCCAGTCTGATTGTGACTCGGGACTCGAGCGCTGCTGCGCCCATGCCCCACCGTCCTCAGACCTTTGGAGTGGGCCCGGCCCCTCTGCACCTTTGCCCCGCATCTTCCAACTTTGCTCTAGCAGGCAAATCATCTTACAGTATCTGTGAGGACCCAGAAGGGAGGCTCCTTCTGGCAGGTGCCGGCCTCGGGGACCAGCCACAGGGACTTCTAGAACCCATTCCCCTGTTAAGAGCAGGAACATGTGGTCTGGAGGAGACCTGGAGTGCACAGAGGACCCAGTGAGGCTGAGCACCTGGCTGCCTGAAGGTTAGGATGAAGGAGAGTCACGAAGGGACAAGACTGTGACGGAACTGTGAAGAGACCGAACGGTGCTCTTCTGCTGTGCCCAGGCTGTAGAAGGCCAGGCCGAGGGCACGCCTTTGGGGAGCAGACTCTTAGAAACAGGCACAAAGGCCGATCTGGGGTGGAAGCAGACTGCTAGCTGGGCCACTGGCTGAGGCTGGGGTCAGCTAGCTGCTCGTTCCTCAGGCCTGCCTGGGGTTGGGTCCTGATGAGAGGGGACATCATAGCCCCACTGGCATCTTCTAAAGCAGGTGGCCTCCTGCTCTCCTCAGCCAAGAAGCATCGAGCCACAATCCCCTCTGTGAAGGGCAGTTCCAGGGCTGCTGGAGGCATGGCTGTTCAGGGGCTATTGGAACCTGGGCTGGGCCTGTGCCTAGAAGAGCCGGGCAGAGGCCAGTGCTCAGAGGAGAGTCCCTTGAGAGCATCTGCTATGGACGTTCAAGTGGACAGTGGCCCAGTGACCCGGGTCACATGAAGCCCCGCTGCCTGCAGCCATCCTGGCTGCACACGGCACCATCTCCGTCGGGACAGGAATGCCCCCTTGCCACCCTTTTCCTACTGGCACCGCTCTGGCACAGCGCTCATGGCCCACAGAGTCCACCTTGGCGGCAGTCACGTGGGCAGCGGTGCTGACTGAGCAGGTACTGAGTGACTGATGAGTGACAGAAAGAACGGTGAGTGACAGGACAGACAGAGGAACACAGGGCCAGGTGGGCTACACTGGAGTCAAGCATCATGCCCAAGTCTGCCACTGGACGGGGCAGGGAGGAGCTGGTTGCCGATGGCCTTCTTTTACAGGGTGTCCCAGGAATCCCCACTAGGACCAGGCGTTCTGAAGTCTGTCCCTTGGGGCCTGTGGGGAATCTACACATGGGCAGTGTCCAGACAGAGCCTGGCACACAGGGGACACTCAGCCCGGGCCACCTCTCTGCCCTTTGGGAAGTGTTCAGATAGGATGATTTCTTCTGGACACTTCAATAACAGGGACTGAAGCTTTAACTTCAGAGAAGCACATCCATGCACAGGTACGTGTGTGTGTGTGTGTGTGTGTGTGTGTGTGTGTGTGTGTGTGTGTGGTGTAATGTATACTGCATGCATGTGAATGTATATACCCACATATGCATGAGTATATGAGTGAATTATGAATGTGTCCACCTGTGTGCATGTATAAGTGAGAGATTTGTGTTTAGTGTGTGCACACAGAAATGTGACAGTGTAATTGTGCATATTTAACTGAGTATACGGATTGAGTATAACTGAGTATGTACACAGGTGTGAATATAAGTATTGTGTATATACATAAATGTGTGCCTGTGTGTGTGAGTCTGTAACTGCATGTGTACATGTAAGACTGTAACCACGGCCATGTCTATAAATAGACTGTCCAACTCTGTGTAACTTTGTGTGCATGTGTACTTGCTGGAGTACACAGATGCACACAGACTCCAGGCACAGGTGGAGGACCTGTCCTGAAGACAGTGGGGATGTTCATCACTGCATTTCCCTACATGTCCTCAGACCTCGAGTCACCAAGATGCCTTTCTCCACCGGCAGTGCCTTGTCTTCTTGGATCCCTGATGGTGGCCCACAAAGAATTAGGGCGTGGAGACATGCTGTGGGCGAATTCCTGATGGGAGGTGGTGGGCACCTGGGGCAGATGGGCCGACGGGAATCACAATTATACATAGCAGTGGGGTTCAGAACCGTCCAGGCCTGAGGCTGCACTGATGCAATACTCTCAGACGCCACCAGATGGAGCCGCGTGCCTAGCTCAAGACTTCAAGCTGGCTTTAGGCTTCCAGCTCCAGAAGTCACTCTGCAGGCCTTGAGACTCCCAGGTCTCCTGCAGCCAGCCTGGACCAAGTGCTCTGGGTGCCAGCCAACAAAAAGAGGGGAGGGGCAGGAGGGGAGCACTTCCTAAGCCTGTGTACACCCACATACACATGAGTATAGGAGTGAATTATCAATGTGTCTACCTGTGTGCATGTGAGATTTGTGTGTACTGTGTGCACACACAGGTGTGACAGTGTAATTGTGCATATGTAAAATGTGGGTGGGTGGGGCAGGGTCCCCTGACTCCAGCTCTGAGCCCTGGGCCCTGAGTTTCCCGAGGGAGGGAGGCCTTGCTGAGGCCACACTCACCTTTCCAGCCCTGCAGACATCTCTTCACTAAACTCTGAGCTCTCACTACTGCCTGGAAAAGGAACACACATCAGTGAGCAGGGCAGCCTCCGAGGGAGGGGCCTGTTCTCCTGGGCTCCCGCTCACTGGGCCCCGGTCCCCCAGCTCACAGCATTCCGACCCTGTGGGCTTCTGTGGATACAACTGTCTCTTCTCTGGGAGGGTTCCAAGAGTTCTCAGCCCCACGTGCTCAGGAGTGCCCTCCACTCCCTTCCCGCTGCCTACCCTCTTGGCTTGTGGGCCAGGCTCCTCAGGTCTGTCTGCACTTCTGCCTGCCTGCTGCCCCAGGGCCTCACCTGCTGAGGGCACAGGCGGGGTGAACACTTCTGGCCCCAGGGTCAAGGCTGGTCTAGATGCATCTGCCTGCACAGGAGAGACCCCAAGGGAGGGCCACTGCCGGGTCCACAGAGACACTGCCAAGGCCTGCTGTGATCCTTTGCCTTCCTAGTCTCCTCCAGGCCCACACTCTGGAACTGACCGTGGTCTGATGGGCCTGAGTGGGGCACCCTGGCTCCTTAGGCCTGTGCCCAGAGTTAAATGAGCAGCCTGCTTTTCTCCAGGTGTGTGCATCTATGGCCTGACCTCTGTATTGTCTTGGACTTTGTAGGCTCCACAGTACAGGCTCTGCTTTAAGAGCTCTGAGACTGAGTGGTAGGAAAGGCAAGGGAGGAGCCCTGGCCGGAGCAGGCCCATCCCCTGCTGTACAGGTAAAGAGCAGCCCAGCACTGCTCCATCAGGACACACACACTTTCTCAGAGCTGTCAGCTCACACGTGAGCCAGAGCCAAGCTAGCTTGTGACCCCCTGGATTCCGGAGAGCGCAGCCCCTGACCCACTCTCGGGGCAGCAGCTCAGAGTTGGCTGGGTGTCAAGACAGCTGCTCGGGGTGCAGCTGTGCCCTCGTGGGCCCTCCTAAGAACCCAGGTCTCATCATCCACTCTGAGATGAGGTCCACGAGTGGGGCCAGCAGGCTGGAGACATCAGTACGCAAGAGCACAGCAGAGGCTCGGGGAGGAAATGTGGTTACCTCTCCCCGGCCCGGGAGGGAGCCTGGCCTCTTCTTTCAAGCCACACCTATGGGCCTCAGATGCACTGTGTCCAAACAGGACGGCCTCCTCTGAAGACAGAAGGCACATATGGGACTTGTCACAAACTTCTAGGAGGCTGCCGCCCTTGACTGAAATTATTCATGACTCCCAAGACTAGCCTAACTTCACAGGGACATGTGGCATGAGACGCCCACCTGGCATTCCTGTTGCCTGCCTCTCCAAGCTCCTGGCCCTCTGCCCCACCGTCTCCACCAGATCAAATGCAGCTGGGCAAGGTCAGGCCAACAGCAGCCCTGGGGAACTCTGCTATTGGAGGCGGACAAAGGCGCCGGCGCAGGGAAAGGCAAAGGGCATCAACGGAACACGGGGCTGCCGGCAGCAATCCCAGGAGAGCGTCCCTGGTCCTCGGTGACCGAGCTCTGCAGCTCCACGCTAGCCCCAGTCCTAATGTTGACATCTCCCCGCTGGATCAGAGGCCTGTTTCTGTAACCCCTTCTTGCCACTGTCCAGTAGTGCAATGCCATCTGATGCTCACCTCTTCAGCCTCCCTTCTGGCTCCTCTGGGTAAAGACAAGCACACGGAAGGAAGCAGTGGCCCGCCCACCCACTGCTCTGAGCAGGGCCTTCGGCTCCCCCTGGGAGGTAAACGCCACCAAGGTAGCAGCTGGCCTCAGGGGTGGACTCAAGTCCAGCTTCCTTCCTCAACCTGACTGTCCACTTGGGGACCACCAGAAGGCCAGCCCAGAGCTCTTTCCTGCAGCAGAAGACTCCTGTAGGGAGCCACTCTTTAAGGGTGAGGGGCCACTGGCACAGCACAGTGACACAGACAGACACGGAGCACACACTGGCCTGCTGCCCCTGCCTGTGTGTGCAGGCCAGAGACGCTTACCTAGGGAGAGTCCGTTGGTGATGGCAGTGGAGGAGGCGAGGGTGAGAGCCCTGCGGGGGCTGCGGGACTCTAGGACGCTGTCGTCCAGCAGGTGCCTGGCCTTCTCCGATGGGAATGTTGCACTCTTACTTTCAACTACACTCAACTGACACATCATACTGGAAAACGGAGAGGAAGAGAGAAGGCAATGCTCCTTATCCTGGGAGAAGAGCGGTCCTGGGGGCCGGAGCCAGGGACTGGCTGGTGGAGACACCTCGGCCCAGAGCCCTCTGGTGGCCCAGGCTCTGCCCCTTCTTAGGGTGTGACCTTGGGCAAGTCACATCCTTTTCTGAGCCTCAACTTCTCCACCTGTCAACAGAGACCAATGCTGCTTGCCCTGCCTGTCTCCCAGGATGATGATGAGGCTTGTGAGATGAGGCCAGAGTGAAGGGCAGGTGGGCCATCCTGAGGAGTGTGAGAGCTTTGTGACCCTCACTGCAGCCACAATGTGCATGGCAGTGGCTGCTCAGAGGTCCCCATGCTTCAGTGAGATGGTGTCTATAGGTGTGTGGCAATGTCTGGAGAAGAGGAGGCACCAGGGGTCCAAAGCAACTTTGTTCTCCTGCTCCTGCCTTTGAGATCCACTAAGGCCGGCCAAGAAGCAAGGCATCTGTGCCTTAGTGCTAGGATGCAGGTTGGTGGTGGTGGTGGGGGGATGCAGGCAGGGGAGGTGGTGGAGGAAGGGTGCCCCGTTTGGAAACCTGTGCCCAATGCCAGGCGATACAGGCAGGGCTATCCCTAACCATGCTGAGGACCTAATGTCCCCCAGCTGTGGGCCTCACAGGGCCAGTGAGCCAGCAAATACTCTGAGACACCAACTGCTGCCCTGGAGATAGTCACTTGTGTCTGCTAGACTCTGTTCTCCCTAAATGAGCCGTTGACCGAGTTTGGGCACATTTCTTCCCTAGCTACTGGGCCTGGATCCCTGATGATGGCACACAGACTATGCAGCCAATTGTTCCTCTGCATTCCCAAGCTCGAACCAGCCTTAGAGTGTGTCTGCCAGGAACATCCAGAGCTCCCATATGGGGGTGGGGAAGGACCCACACTCCTTCAGCCCAGAAGAGGGTTGCTCAGTCACCCACTTGTTGCCCAGGCTGTGGCTCTTCCTGTGTCTGGGGACTGGTGGCGTGGGGAGGCTGCCAGCTACAGATGTATCAGGACAGGTGGGCCTCCGGCGGAACCTGGCCGAGCTGGAGCCAGCAGAGGGGCCTGTGGGAAGAACAGAGGGAGAGTGATGGCCGGAGCTGTGGGGCGAGAGCAGGGGAAAGGCTCAGGGAACTGGGCTTTAGGTCCGGGGTATGGACCTGTCCCCAGCTGTCGTGGGTAAGACGAGGCTCACACGAAGCCAACAGCAGCTTCCCACTTACTGGATGCTTACCCTTCCTTCCCAGCATCACTAACTCCCAGAGGGAAGGCCTGAGGTGCCCAGGTCCAGTACCTGGGCACCTCTGCCAGGCAGCCAGCTGACGACCCATCCATAAGAGCAGAACCAGAGGCCTGAGCTTAAAGCAAAGGTCCTACCTGGACTTCACCTTCGCCCAGACAGGTATAGAAGGGGTAATGGAAGGCTTTGAGATGAGGCAGCTGCGCCGCCACCTCTGGACCACATGTGCGCCCCTGGCCAGGACTTGCACACTGGCATTGGCTGCTCTGAGGTTCTGCCTCTCCGTCACAGGATGTAACACATCTGCCCCGAAGAGCGGCCGTCCTTGGAGGCTGTGACTGTGTGGTCACAGGGGATCTGGGCACCACACCCAGGCTCTCGGGTGGCCCTGCAGTGCCCAGAGGAGAATCCTCTGGTCTATGCTCTGGGACACAGGATGCCTCGGCCCCTGGGGAAACAGCTCCCACAGCTGCTCTGGAGAGGAAGTGAGGGATGAACAGTCTGCTGCTTTGTTTTGCTTTTGCCTTAAGAGAAGATTGCAGAGGGTGGAGCCCCTTGTTTATCAGCAACCAAAGGAGGATGACAGAGGACAGCCCCACTGCCTGAATCTCAAAGAACCTCTGCAGGAGGCCTGAAGCGGGAGCCCAGAGGCCCTGGTGTTGGAGCAGAAATGACCAGGTTGACATTAGGACAGGCCTTTGCACACCTGGCCCTGTGCTATAAGCCTTGAGGTATGCACTCTTCGTTGCCCCATTAGACAGAGGAGAAGGCGGGCTTAGAGGTCTGCCGCCTAGTGGAGGTAGTACCCAAACCCAGGCAAAGTGCAGCGGGCTTTAGGGGTGGGGAGGATGCCAGGAGTTCCCAGTACAGGTGCGCGGCAGACGTCCTTGAGAAAGGGAAGGGAGACAGACCCAGCATCCACTATGCACCACTTGTGAGCAGCACTGTACAGACTGGACCCATGCCCCAGCTCACCGACCCCAGCACACTTGATCTAGGGAGACAGGGAGCCCTAGAGGTAGCACAGCCACATGGCTGACATCGGCCTTTGCTGTTCATTCTCACTTGGCTCCATGTAGCTCTTGCCTTCTAGCTCTGCTCATGCTCATGCTGAGTTCTCACAAGCCTTTCAGAGTCCCTTTGGCCTCTCCCACTCAACTCTGGATTCTCTCTCCATGGCTAGGCCTGGATTCGCCCCCTTTCCTTTCTGCTTTCTCTTTGGAGCCTTGGGAGACATGCCTGGCCTCAGATGCCCCTGGACCGGCTGGGGAGGGTGGGTGGGGGCCCCAGCGGAAGAGCCTTGGCCTCTTGGCCTGTGTCAGGGCTGCTGCTGCTCTCTGGGCTCTAGGTCTCATCCCCCCTCCTCCCCCACATTCTCCCAGCATTGTTGACCAACAGCCTAGGCCTGACGCGGAAACACAAGAATTTCCATTCGGCTGGGACCCAGATGAGAAGCCTCTCTGCCAGTAAGTGACACCCTCTGCTACCAAAAGGCCTCATGTTCCTGCTCCTCCAAGCCTGGGGTGGCCCCCACGTGACAGTGCCAGGACACGTGCCTTCTGAGTTCGGTGGTTGGCCAGCTTATTGGTCATGTCCTCAGGCAGGGTAGTGGCGGTGATGAGCTGGGGCTCTGGTCTCCATAGCAGAGTGGAGGCCCACTGCCCAGCCTGATATGGCTTGGACAGTTGGAAAAACTGACCATGAGGCTTGACTATCTCAAAGGATTGCTCTATTTTTCCTCAGCAGAAGTTTTCCATGAATAATCTTTAAAACTCTTTAGTGGCTGTTTCTTTAGCAGTTTTATTGGACCATATGAGAATCGACAGTTTCTGTAGGCAACCAGATATGCTGGGGAAAAAAATCTGGTTTTCATTATAACAAACCAACATACTGCCCAACAGACCACTCATTGATTGAAAGAGGAAAAACAAAACAAAACAAAACACTTGGCCTTCTAATAACAGTCTTGTAGTGGCCAGAATCCCAGATGATGTATGGTGACAGAAAGGGACTCTGGTCCTGGAGGCAGGGAGGTCTGGGCTCTTATCTCTATCTGTGCTAACAAGTTGAGTGGCCTTGGGGAGGTCACCTCGCCCCTCTGAGCCCTGAATCTACATCTGTAAACAAGGGATGAGGAGCCTGTCCTTGGTTGCCTCCCTGTCAAGGGTTAAACAGACAGTGTCTCTCTTTCTGCCACAAATGTTTAGGAAGCTCAGACCTTGGGGCTGCCCCTGGGCTGAGCACTGGAGCTACATCATAGACCAGAAAAGTTACCATGCTCTGCTTGCATGGGAGCATGCAGCAGTCAACGTCGAGAGGGGAAAAGGGGTCACCAGGAGGTCGCACCCAGCAGGAACACAGGCCGACAGGAGGGTAGTCCCGATCAATACTCAAGAGCACCGACCGACTCCACCAACAGCACGACAGCATCCAAAAGGGGACATGACAATCTCTAACCCTGACTTAGCGTCTGCTCACTGCCAGAACTAATGGTGCGCACTTCGTCCACTTGACCTTATTTAAGCCTTACAGTAGCACAGAACTTTGGGGAACACGAGGGAGGGATCAGAAAAGACTTCTGGAAGGTCCGACCCCCTGCGGTGGTACAAGGGCAGCGACGAAGGCAGGTGTACCAGGGCTCAGGGAGAAGAGGGCAGTCACAGCACAGCCTTGGGTTCACAAGGTGAGGCCTGCTGAGGAGCTCAGACCTATCTTAGAAAGGGCCTCTGGCCGGAGAGTGGCGAGGTGTGGCCAAGCCTGGAAGCTGCAGGTGCTGAGGGAGAGGGATGTATAAGGAGTGTCCCAGGGATGGGCCAGGCAGAGATGTGGGGGGACTGAGAGTAACGCTCTGTACGGAGTAGTGCACACTTGGGGCACAGATCTAGGGGACCTGAAGAAGTCCAGTGTGGGGCTAACATCTAGAGGGCACTGGGTAGATGGGCATGGCTGCAAGGAGAGCACACTGGGCAAAGCAACCTCTTCTCATGGATTTCGGGCCAGGCCCTGCTTGGGCCAGCACTGTCCCATTCCAGCTGGGCTTTCCAAGTCTCACACATTGGGAAGTAATGGAAGGCAGCTGTGGTGGAGAGGAAAGCAGCAGCCTGAAGTCACAAGACTTGGGTTCCAGTCCTGCCTCTAGCCCCAGCTGGACAGGGCCCTGCTCATGCCTTCCCCTTCGAGGCACTGCAGCTGTGCCATCTGGAGCCCTGGCCAGCACAACTCTGAGTCTCCAGGGGCCAGGGTCGGCTGTCACCCAACTGCAGGGTTCGGAGTCCTCGGCTTCCCACCTGTTCATGTGGAGAGCCTTACTTGGAGCTCCAGGACTCAGGCCTTCTGGGTCTGCCACAGCCCTGTAGATCTTGGACCACTGGGCCCCTCTGCAGTCTTTGTGTGGAAACTTTTCTATCGCCAGGTCTCTGGCGGGGCCTGGGAGCCACTCATTTCTATGTTCACACACATTCTGCTTTTCACACACACGGCTCTCATGGGTCTCACTGAGAGCCAAGATCTGTCTGCACAGAAGGTCCAGTTCACTTCCTTCTGAGGAACAGTGTTCGTCATCTCTGGGCTGAAGGGGCACTGTCCTCTCTTGCTGCCAGAGGTGAGGACTCAGGCCACAGAGTGGGGACCAAGGACGCTGGGAAGCTGCTGGCACTCAAGGTGCTTGGGCCGCTGCAGGGCTGTGGAGCCGGCAGATCAGGCTGGAGTCGTCGCCACCTGCTTCTAGCCCTCGAGCTCTCTCTGAGGATCCCACCCACCCTGAGCATGGAAAGGTTTGCAGAGGAAGGGCACTGGAGAGAGAAGCCCTGCCGCTGCTGCCGCCGCCGCTGCCTCTCTCCACAGACCATGGTGGCCTTGGAAGATGTCTCCCACACTGGGGCCCTGACAACGTGAAGGTGACCCCAAGCAGAGGGCCGTGGTGGCCACAGACTGGTCAGCTGCACTCTCACATGGATGGGAGCCACCCTGGCCTCCTGTAGACGAGATGACTCTCGAGAAGACCAGGGATAGCGTGGAGGGCTTGAGCGGGTCTTAGCAGGAAGCTGCTGGTGGGAAGATGACCCTGACGGGGCTTCAGAGTCCAGGAGCGTATCGTTATCTGCCGAGGCTGAGGGCATGTGGACTCTCTAAAACCTCCAGGGAAGTGTCCTGGAGAAACGGCAGCTTTATAACTGCCCCTTGGAGGGTGCTGGGCCCCGAGACAGCAGCAGCACTGGTACAAATGGGGCTGTGGTCAGCAAGCTGAAGGCCTGGAGAACTGTTGGGTGAGGGAAAAGACCACACTGCTGCTTCCTGGACATCCCTGTGGGATGAGGTGAGGGGGCTGACACAAGATAAAGTTGGAGGTTCTGATTCCTGCAAACTCAGCGTATCTGTCCCCCCTGTGTGTGTGACTCGATGCATCTGCAAGAAACCGGGTGTGGCGACACGGACCTGCAGGCCCAGCACTCAGGATCAAGTGCTCCAGGCCATCCTGGACTACATATTGAGTTTGAGGCTAGCCTGGGATAATGATACCCATGTCTCTTAAAAGAAAAGTCCATAAGAGAGGCAGAAAAATGCAGGTCTACCATCCAAGGCAGGTACTTAGTCCCCTGCACAAGTACACAGGACGACAGGGACACAGCCCTCACCGCGCCCTCCGTGCTCCGTGTGTTGGACACAGGGGACAGACCTGTCCTGACCCCCACCAGCTGGGTGAGCACCCTGGTGTCTCTGCCTACAGAATGGGAGTAGAAGGAGAGGAGCGAAGGCCCACCTGTCTGCTGGGAGGCCCGGGGGACGCGCCAGGCAGGGGCTGGCTCCACTCAGTGAGCATGTGGGCAGGCTCGGGAAGGTGCTCAGTCCAGGTGAGCCGTGGTGAAGACCGGGAGACAGAGGGTTCCCTCACGGGAATTGTCTGGAGGGCTCCACACAGTCCTCGGCTCCCCAGTGAACGGCAGGCTCTCTGGCCTCTCTCCTTGGACCTGAACCAGTCTCTGTGACCCTCAGAGGAAGGCTGAAGTGAGGCTGCCTGGCCTCGGAGACTGGCTCAGGAGATGTTACAGGACAGTTTTTAGCGGCCCTCTCCATTTCCGCTCTGAGGATAGCCAGCTGCTGAGTCTGATGCCCCTGATCCTGCTGTACTCTGGGAAAGCCGGGGCCACATGAAGAGGCTCCAGCTTTGCTAAGCTGCTGCTGCCCCAGCTCCAGCGAGCAGCAGGTACCATACGTGTGAGTAATGACCCCTCAAAGTGACTCCACTCCCACCCCTGTCTACCCTGATGCTCTGACACACAGAATGTATGTGTGACATTAAATGCTATTTTCTACCCTGTTATGAGGTGGCACTGGAGATGGGACTAGATGTGTGTCCTCGAGTTCCCAATCTGGTGCTCAGGTGGCAGCCTCACACTCTCTCCTTTAGAGGGCATCAGAGCCTGCCCGAGAGGGCCAGAAGCCAACATTCCCAAGAGGCACTGTACCAGCAGCAGAACTTGGCCCAGCCTTGGGGAACTCCCTCCACAGCCCTGGGATGTGAGCCGGCCTGAAGCCTTCCCGCTCCCCCAGACACTGCAGCCAGGCTCTACATAGGTCTGCTGGCCTGGCGGCAGGGCTTTTGTCACCAGATAGTGACCATGGAGACAGAAAGGTATGTAGGAGATCAGCCTTTAGGTTGAGAGAGCAGAGATGGAGGCCAGCGCCTGGATTTTCCTGGACTTGAGCATGGCTCTGGAATCTTCAGAGGAAACCTGTCCCCAGGGGAAGTCATGTGGGGGAAGCCTGCAAGGTCTGGAACTGTCTTCACTAGCTCCGAGATATCCACAAACATCACTTGCCCTCTGGGAGTGAGGGCGGGCAGTGTTATGAACATTACATGTGATTTCTTTCCTCTCTCCAGGAAAATATTAGTTCACTTATATAAACAGCATCACATGGAGAGAGAACTGGAAATGTGGCATCCCTGGCCTTTCTCCTCCCCCATAGATCAGAGACTGAGTCAGTTTCCCCCACTGCCTTGATGCAGTCTCCTTGTGGGGACAGACTGCCCACATGGACATTCCCCCAGAGGAGAGTGGGGGCAGCCCTTGGCAGAGTTCTGGGGCCACTGGAGGCCAAGGGAACAGTTGTAGCTCAGAGGCTGCTGCTACTGTTAATCAAGGCTCCTGAGGTCATGGCTGCTGCTATCTGTGCGGGCCGCCAAGGTCTCCCAGGCCCTGGCAGGAGCTGGTTAGGAAAGAGACAGAGATAGCCCCTCACATACCCACCATCTTGGTCTGCTCACACTGGCTTCTTTTCGGCTCCAAACATGCATGTCCTTGCCTGTTCCCGCAACTAAGACACAAGCTCCAGGAGGCTGGGGCCCCTGCCAGGTAACTGGTTCATAGCAAGTGCTTGTCACACACAGACCTGCAGCCTGAGAGCCTTGTGTAAATGAAGGCACACATCTAAAGGCTTTTCCTTGGCAAGTGTGAGGCTGTCTAACTGCTGGGCATAGCTTTAAGCTGAGCCTGGCCCCTCCCGAGGAGCGGAGGGAGGCTGCGTTCCTCCCATTCTTGGGACTGCAAGAGGCACATTCCTGTCCCTGAGTCCTGTGGAGTTCCTGCCACGCAGCTCAGTCTAACTGCCAGAGCCCAGGCTTCTGTGGAGCTGACCCTTGCCCTCTGGGACCCCTGAGATTCAATGACCTAGGCTGTAGCGGGGCACTCCTGATCTTCCTCTAAGGCTTCCAGGGGGAGACCCAAGCCACTGAATGCTATGAGCTTTCTAGAAAGCTATCGGCTATCTGGTGATCGACATAAACCCTGACATCCTGCTTGGGCCTGAAGCCAGGGATCTGGAAAGCTGGTGGAAAACACTCCTGGGAGCGGTGCTCCCCTGCAAATGCAGGACCTGCTGGTCTCAGCACTTCTCTGGAAGGTAGTGCAGTCAGCAGCCAGCCCACACTGGAGCCGCCCTCAAGTACAGGTGCCCACAGGGCCCAACAAGGAACTCTAGGGCTAGGGCTGAATGGGAGGCAGCTGATTCACCCAGAGTTCTGTATGCCAGGCGCTAGGAATTGCACACCAGACCTGTCTCTCAGAGGGCTTCCACTCTGCTGAAGACAGGTATAGGGCAAACGAGGACAGAGATGGCTGAAGGGTACATCTGCTGGCCACACAAGGGTGTGACGTAGGACCCACAAAGCCCTGTGAGAGGCCAGGCAGGAAGTGAACCCGCGAATATGTAGCCATATGTCATACTACACAGAACAGGGTGGGCCAGTTTGGGGGTCCAGAGCTTGCTGCCCGCCCCCACCATGAAACCAGGCCTGACCCGGGTCTCAGGCAGTGTCATTTAGTTAAAGCCTGGAGGCTAGTTCAGTGATGGAATCACACTGACAAACCAGTATCATAGCAAATTTGCCCCACACGAGAGCGCTCTGGGGCGGATTCTGCACATCCCGGCAGTAGCCCTGTGAGTGACAGGTGTACTGCGCCCATTTTACAGATGGAGTGGGCAGTGCTGAGCATCTCGGAGAGCAGTTTGCCGGGGGAGAGTTCTAGAACAGGGACAGACTGGAAAGGAGAAACTTGCCCAGGACCATAGCTCTCTGAACCACCCTTGGGCCATCTGCAGGGAAAGACAGTAGGTTTTTGAGGAGACAGCAGGAGGCCCTGAAAACAGGGTTCTGGGGGTGCCATGGAAAACAGACTGCAGACAGCACTAACTCAAGAGCTCCTGCAGTCCCGAGGCCACGCAGCAGCGTCTTCCAAGGCTCATGAGCAGGAAAGCCCAGTGGGGCAAGGAAGAGTCTAGCTTACTACCCAGAGACGTCAGAGGCTGGCCCAGATGGGAGCAGGGAGCATATCCCAGAGGCAGGACAGCTCGGCAGGATGGGGCTGCCACACTGTTTCCCGAGAGTTCTGTGGTCTAGTCCCACCAATACACATCCCCGCTGGGAGTATGGAGATAGAGGGAAAGCACGGCCCAGAGGGAGGAAGCTGTTGGGGAGAGCTGCAACCAGGATGGCGTGCTGCTGGAGTCCCCATCTCTAAGAGCCGGCTGGACAGTAGCTGAAGGGTGTTATGGCACACCACTGTTATGGCACACCAACAACAAAGCCGCCAACAGCAAGCACACTCTGGCAGGGGACGGGTGTGGGCAGAGCATGAGACAGACCTGTGCTCCCCCGGGCATCACGGCAGTCCTACAAGGGCAATACGACTCTACTCCATTCTGCAGATAAGGCTATGGAGGAGAAAGACAGAGGCAAGGCTAGAGCCTAGCTCTGACAGCAGATCCTAGGATCCCTCTACTGGTGACACAGTGTGTTTCCCTCAGAGGTGATAAATCTACTATGTCTGCTGCATCTTGGGTACCCCTTTGGGGCACATAATCCCAAGTCGGGGGTCAGGCAGGAGGACAGGGGTCTGGGTGGTCTAGGGAAGACCACAGAGTTTTTTGTACTTTGTGCGTGCTTCCAAGTTGAGGATCTCATCTCCTGGGGTCCCACATTATCAGGATCCTGGTGGGTTGGTGGAGGGGCTATAAGCAAGGACAGTTGAGCCTGCCAGGCAACGAACTCAACTGTGGTTTTGAGCTCCAGACAGGGCCTATTTTGGCAGCCAGATCTGGGCTGCATGTGGTTTTGCACCATTCCAGGTAGCTACGATACCTGCAAGATCTTCCTTGGAAGAGACCAGTCTTGGAGAGCTGCTTCCTGGTTCGATTCTGAGTGACAGCCTGAAACCAAAGATTTTCACAAGGTCAGAGGGGCCTGGGTCTATCATGGGACGGGGGAGGGAATGAAGGCTTTGTTAAAGAGAATACGGGGATACTGTGAGGTCTGCTTCGGGTCACAGCTCTTCCCTCCAACACCTCCCCAGTGTTTCTGGGTCCAGTACGTGATGGTTAAGGAGGACAGGGTGAAATGAACAACTGGCCCTGCCTGTTTGCCCACAACTCTGTGATGGAGCACATTTCAGAGCCTGGAAAAGCGAGGAGGAAGAGGCTGTGCAGCTCAAATTCATGCACTAGTGAGTGGCAGGCAGGGGTACTATGATGGGATGCAGGTGCCACAGGACAAGACTGGCAACCTGAGGGCATCCCTTTGCGGCATGGCTAGCCCTGGGAGATGAAGGGAACCTCTTGCCTTCTTGGGAAAAAGGGAGAAATTAGGTGACCCCGGACCTCCCGGGCAGCCCGAGAGGAACCAGCCCCTCTGCATATGTGGAAGGAGAGCCAGATGTCTTTCTGAGGAGCATCCAGGCAAGGGTCTCTCCAAGGTAGCAAGACAGTGGTCCAGCAACACCACAGACTTTGTCTCACAGAAGGAAGAGAAAAGGAGAGAGTGACCCCAAGGTCAACCCAGGAGGTAGCCCCTGAGCAGAGGAGCGACTTGTAAGAACATGAGCGGAGTTCAAGCAAACCTGAACATCACGGTGATTAGACAAAGGAAGCAGATGAGATGGGAGACTCAGGACAAGGGAGCAAATCAAAGACGGAAACCGACAGGGCTGGCCACACCTCACTGCAAACAGATTTCTCGGGACCGCCGGGGCGGAGGAGCCCATCCCAGCTGCTGGGAAGCTGCTCAGAGAGGAGGAGGGCAGAGAGCATCCAACACAGGAGCCCCGGCAGGTGGGAGCCCAGAACGGGTGTGGAGCAGTGGAAGGCATAACCAGCGGAGGCTGGCCTGCAGCTGGGAAGGCTTGCTGCGGTATCTGGAGGTCAGGCAGAGTCCTCCTCTCCGAGGATCCCTCTTGCTGAGCTTCTTTATCCACCGGGCAAAGCCAGGAGGCGGGGGCACCCAGGAAGGTTTGAGACTGTAGCAGCAGCACCCAGTGTCAGGAGGCCACGATGTCTGGTCTACAGACCTAGGGGAAAGCGGAGCGGGCACCCAGGAGGCCAAGCTATGAATAACCAGTCCTCCAAGGGAAGAGGGACCGTGGCTCCTGATGAACCCTACTAAGTAAGGGACTGATTTAAAATAAAGGCTCAAGGGATGAGGAGCAACAGGAGGTAAGAACTGAATTCCAGTAAAAACACAGAACAGTAGGAATTACAATTCCTGAGCGTGGTTTTCATGGTATGCACTTGGAGTGAGGGGTCCAAGAACAACACAGCAAACAAGACCCTGCAGGACACTGCAGCTCAGGTCGGGGCAGGGCCAGCAGTGTCCTCTTTACAACCCAAGGCAGCTGACAGTCGCGGCGACAGCCTGCTCACAGGAAATAACCAGACTCGGGCTTCTGCATGCTTTTCCTGGCTATTTTATGAGTCTTATAAAAGATGTTTAAGAAATGCATTTTATTCTAATTTTTAGTTATGTGCATGTGTGAGTCTCTATGTGGTAACGTGCATGTGCGTGCAGGTGTCCGTATGTGTGAGTCTCTATGTGGTAACGTGCATGTGCGTGCAGGTGTGCGTGGAGGCCAGGAGAGGGTGTGGGATCCTCTGGAGCTGGAGCTACAGGCGGTTGTGAGCTAGCTGCTTGATGTGGGTGCTGGGAACTGAACTCAGGTGCCCTGCTGGAGGAGCAAGCAAGACCTTAACCACTGAGCCATCTTGAAGAAATGATATTTCTTGTAGTAAATCTGAGTAAGTTCTGCCCTTGCATCCATCCATCTACCCATCTGCTTACTCCATGCTAGTGGCCATGCTTTCTAAGTGGTGAGAACTGATAACAGACTAACAGCTGAGAAAGAGGAAACACTGGTTGGACCTCTTGGTAGAGTCTCCATCTCAAGGCAGATGACGACAGGGTATCAGAAGTGTGAGGTCATCAATGTCCTCAGTTCTTGCATCCTTGGCAGCAAGGAGCCACCTCTAGGTGTGAGCTGGCCACAGCACTCAGGACTCCAGCAGAATCCCAGGCCCTGCCCGCCTCCTGCTGTTCAGAAACAGGACCTCCTTAGAAAGAGGGCTCTCCATGGTTGGGGGCCTGGGCAGGAAGGCAGCCCTCCCCCCTGGGCTTGCCCAGTTTGGCCCAACAAAGAGCCTTTATGAGCCCCAGGCTGACTGTTGTTTAGCACAGAGGGCTGGGGGGTGGGGGGACAGTACTCCACTTCTTCAGAATGGAAGGAGTAATTACTCATAATCTGCATCTTGTCCAAGGATTGTCTCATGTTCGCAAGTATTTATAGGCCATTTTTCTCCTTAAAGCGTATTAGTGTTAATGAAAAACTACTGTCTCTTTAATGGCAAGACTGGTACATGAATGGAAAGCATTATACTAGAACTTAAGTAGGAATGATTTTGCACTCCAGGCCACTCTTCAGGAACAGCAAATGCTTTGTAAATAAAATGAACTCTGTTTGTGATAGATGCCATTTTCGTGGTGACCTCCGGCCCTCTTCCGTGCCTCCCATTGCCGCGCGTACATCACATCTTTGCCCCGTTCTTCTTCTATGAATGATGGTGTAGCAACAGCAAGGACAGAATGTCTATGTCCCAAAGATGGCTAGGGCCTCAAGTGGAATGCTGAGAGAAGGCCACTCTGCAGGCCCCACCCTGGGGACCTGGATTCACAACCAGAGCTTTGAACCACTGCTGCTGTGCTGCCGGGAAGGGATGCCTGAACAACTGTTCCCAAAGATCTGTGGAGTGGCTGGTAGCTATGGTTCTGGATCATTTTCATAGACCAAGATGATGCAAGATCAAGCCTTCAGACACAAAGCTGAAGGGACTAAACGGTACTAGATAACAGGGGTCAGGGGAACAGTGTACAGAAGCAGCCAGTGAGATGGGATGTCCAAGAGATTCTGTGAGGGTGGCACTCGGGTGGTGAACGATCAGTCACAAGATGGCTGAGACTTGCCTTGATGCCAGGTTATATGAGAGAGCACTGAGCCAAGAGGATGTCCAGCCAAGATGGGCAGCCAGAGTTGACTTCAAAATGACCCCCTCTTCTCCCTCCAGATACTGAACAAGGCATGCACACCCAGGTGCCACCAATGAAGCGTGAACTCAAATCAGAGCAGGGCCAATGGAAGACTAGTGCTGGACGGCCTTTGGGGCCTCTCTGAGAAACACACCTGTTCACACAGGCATAGAGACTGTGCCTGGGGCCCTTGGCTAGAGCCAGATGGAGAGTCCTGCAGAGCTGAGACCCAGAGACTGACTGTTTCATCCATCTGTGAAACAGGACCTTGGAGAATACTGGCCTGAGAACATGGCCAGCTGATCTTCTACCCAGTGCCAAGGGTCCCTGTGAGAGCCCAAGTGCCAATCGTGTCCCATGCATGGCTGTGGAGTCCACATGGGAAGGTGAACATACCATCTCTCTCGGTTATGGGGCCTGAGGGGCGGGAGCAAAGGCAGGTATTGAAGGCTGTACAGACAACACTGTTCTGGCGGGGCATGGAAGCCCTGCAGGTCACTCCTTACCACTCCCAGGAAGGATCAGGTCACCATGTGCTAAGGACAGCAGTGGCTGTAGGTCTGGCGAGGGGGAACAGTGACTTACTTGTAGTTATCATCTTCCACAAACTTCTGGAGCTCCTCAATGTAGCGCACAGACTTCAGGTACTTCTGCACGTGTGGCAGGGTCGTGAGGTGATCTGCGGGAGTGCGAACAAGACTCAGTGGCTCGACTCCCCAGCCCAGGGAATGCTGACACAGACACACGGAGCCTCTTGAGGCTGGTTCACTGTCCTTGGGGCCAGGCCCGAGGGGTGGTCAGGTTTGGATTCTGCCCTCTGGAAAGTGACCTCAAGCGTTTGGCTGCAGGAGGGAAGCTAAGGCTGGGACAAGCTGAAGCCCTGGCCTCAAGAACACATAGTTGTGTGTCTATGCCTCCAGCACATCTCCTGTGATGCTGGGGGAGAGTCTCCTGTGCGCCATGAATGCAAGACCATCCCAGGCAGTGCCCAAGTCCAGCCCAGACGGCAGGCAGGCTCTGTACCGGGTGACAGACAGCAGACGTCTGTTCTAGCCTTCACTCTGACTGGTGCAGGAAAAAGGCTGTTCCCGTCGTATGAAGGAGGGAACAGCAATACACAGAGAGGCTATCACTGGATATCACTGGGAGGTGGCAAGGCCAGGTCTACCTCAGCCTGTGAGGCCTGTGCCGCGCTGCGTCACCTCTGTCGCTCTCCTCAGACCTTCACCACTCCTGAGAAGGGGGCAGATGTGAAAGGAGAGGCTGAGGAGAGCAGCAGGGACCCATGGTCTTCAGGCTCCGGACTCTGGCGCTCTGAAGGGCATTTCTCTTTCCCTAACTCCTCGGTGGCGTCATCATCTTTGAAATGAGGATGACGACACCTGTGCTCCAAGCTGATGGCGGCGGCGGGCACAAGTCTAGAGCACAGTGACAAGAGCGCATCTTCTCTGGGTCCTGGAAAATTCTGGCACATGCTGAGGGCCAGGACCCGTATGTGGCCCCTATTTTCACACATGAATAAACCATGGAGAGGAGGAAGTGACGACTTTCCAAGATGCAGCCCGAGACTTGCTCCCTGGTGTGTCCTCCGCAGCCTGAGTCTGCAGCTGCTCTGCTGGTCAGCAGACAGTGATGTGGGTGTTTGAAGGATCTAGAATATGCAGGCCTCAGAGAAGAGCTGGCCTCCTATGCAGACCCTATCTTGCCCTGAGATGCTGTGACCTGGGGCTTCCCTGTGGTCCTCCTAAGCAGAGGCGGCCACCGTCTCACACCCGTGTGTGACAGGTAGGGCTAGCCTTCTGTTCTCACACCCCTCTGGTGCACCCCGGCTTTTCTTCTATTGTGAAACCCGGCAGCAGAGAGGCCAGTTTACGCTCTGTTCTCCATTCTCCTATCGCTGCTGACTCCCTGCCTGGATGTTGTTCTTTCTCACTAGGGACTGGGGCACCTGACTCACATTTAGGCTCCACACCAAGTTCACAGACTTGTAGGAAATCCGTGTCCAGGTGGACGGCCTATTCAGCACTCTAACATCTCAGGTACAGAAGTCTCTAGTAAGGCCTCCGTATTCCAGTCGCCTGGCAACATGCTCACCCTTTGTACTTGGCCATGTGCAGCAGAGCCTGGCCAGTGGCTTACCAAGTCACTGCCCCATTGCGTTCAGGCCCGCCACTAGACGGCATAGCCGGCCTCCTCAGCAAGTCAGGCCGACAGACTGCCCTTGTTGGCTTCTTCCTTCTTGCCTCTGCTGCCCTAGTGCGGGGCCAATGGGGGCCTCAAACGGGAGAGCCAAGGTGGAGGGAATATGGACCCAAATCCACCTGGAGCTATCTGGGAACTTCCCATCAGGCTTTTCGTGGATAAATGGCCCAGAGCCAGCCTGACCTGGGACACGCCTCTCACTGAGTGTGTCATCTTAGTGGCTGAACTGTGTGCTCCTCGTGTGTAATGAAGTGACAGTGACATCTAGTTTGCAGAATCTTTGGAGATGTGTAAAAGGCCTAGCCCATGTCTCAAGTCAGGACAGTGCCGTGGGGAGCGCTGTGGGGCTAACCTGACTCCTGGAGCTTTCCTGTGGCCAAAGCACTGGATCCAGATTGCAACAATGCAAGCTTTCACAATTCTAGGGGTAAGGTACTAACCATAGCTGCAGGAAACTTGCAAATCAGCAATGATCCGGAGGATGTTGTTCATCTGGTTGGATCTTTGTTCGTTTTCCATGATGCTGCCAGAGGCAGGGTATGCAGAATCAATGTAGATCAAATCCAGAAGGTAGATTCCTAGGATTAAAGAACACACTGAGTTATGGTAGGGTGCATCATGAACCCTAGAGTTAAATTGTCCCCTCCCCAAGAAGTTATAAAGAGCAGCTTGTGGAAAGTGAACATGCTACTTGGACTTGAATTCTAATTCTGACGAACTCATTTTTCATGCTCAACTATGTGACAAATATTTGAGCAACAACCGAAATGGATGCTGGCAAATTCTAGTATGTCTAATCTGCATAGCTGTCATCAGCGAGGTTTTGTACCTATAATCCAAACGGAAAATAACAGGTGGCTATGCCTACTCTCCGATGACTGGTGAAGTTTAATAACTAAGTCTAAGCCGACATGCCCAGGAGAACGGATCTTGTGGTTTTTACTTATTTGTTTAGCTATTTGTCTATCTGCTCCCATACATGTGCACACATACACACAATCACAAATTAATGGAGGAACAGGAGTTAAGAATGAGATGCTTCCCTGTACAAAAAACAAAACACAGAAACCAATGGTAGACAGAGATGTTTTCTGAGATGCTTAACAAGAAATAAGATGCGGTGCAAGAACAGGACTCCAGAAGGCCAGTGATGAGCTGGGGGTGGGTTCCAAGACAACCAGTCCACCTGGGCGAGAAGGAAGGAGAGCTGGGGGCTGCTCTGGGGGCTGAGCCGCTCCACAGTTCCCGGCCGACTGACTACCGAGTCAGCTGACTATCTGGAGACATGAAAGGAGAGTGGACGGTGTGCCTCTCCGGGAGCAATGCCAATACTCTCCCCGCCATACACGAGGAACGGGGCAGGAGAAGCAGCACAAAGCAGAGCTGGAGACAGAAAAAACTGATCCAGGCAAAGAGCAACGACTGCCAGGGGTGAAAACAGACTCGGTGGAGAGGAGACAATGGCTTTGAATTCCCACGCACGAAACAGAACCACATTTAAACACATAAAGCAAGAAACCACCAGGGGAAAAAGTGAACTTAGAAAATGCTAACGCTGAGAAACGCTGTCTCAAAAAACAGCTACATCAGCTAGGTGTGCTACAACCATACCTAGGAAGCCTTGCTTGCCTCTTCTGCAATTTATGAATGAGCATGTGCGTACATACACACACACACACACACACACACACACGTACAATAGCAGGCGTGCGCAGATAACGCTGTAACAAAACCAGTGAGCTCAGGCTTACTTGTGTATGTGCGTATGTGGGTGTGTTTTCCCACGCGGGGGCATGTGGAGGCCACAGCGGGATCTCGGGGTGTCCATCTCTATCACTCTACACCTTATGATTTGAGATGGGTCTTGACGGAATGTGGAGCTTGCCATTTTGGCTAGACTCCAGGTGGAGTTACACAAACAGCATGCTGGTACACCAGGTGGTGGTGTCCACACAGGTGCTCAGGGTTTTACTCTGAGCCAAGCACTTCACTCACTGAGCCATCCTCATAGTCTCTGTAAGCTTGCATTTCCATAACTAAAACTACAGTTCTTTTTAGATACTCACAGAACACAAACATCATATACATGGCTATACGGAGGGCCAGTGCGCTCCAAAAACTCAACACCATGCTACACACATTCTTTGACTTTACTGTGCTCCATCTAGGAGTGCAGTACAGAAAAAAATTCCAACCACTGAAAGTACACACACATAAGAAACTTCTAGGTTAAAAATAGATCTAAAGTTTTAAAAAAAATCTGTCTGCATTGCTTTCACAAAAACGGTACTTGTATGAAATGCAGTGATACCCGAAGCTTTGACTTGAATCAGTAGCCTTCAGACAATTTCTGACGTCCTCCATGTCCATAGTCCAGGATTCCAAGGTTCTCCCCTTACTTTCAGGACTTCCAGATCTAGAGAGACAGCCAGGAGTGTGCACCACTCTTGCAGAGGACCCAAGTTCGGTTCCCAGCACCTACGGCAGGGAGGTCATAACCGCCTCTAACTCCAGCTCCAGGGGCATCCGATGCCTCTGGTTTCTGCGGACGCCTGCACACACATGCACATGCCTCAACATGTACACACACATCATACATCTAATTTAAAATAACAAAAATAAATATTTAAAAAATGTAAGATTTCTACATTTAATGACTTTAAATATAGTAAAGCCTAAAGGGACCTTCATAATCAGAAAATGATGTTAGCTTTATAATATTCAAGGTGGCTGTATCAAAATGTTTGTGCACTAAAATCCTGACCAATGTCAAGTATTACTAATGACAAACAGAATACTGTGTAGTCATATTTTACATGCACTGTACATATTTCCATGCTGTGTAATTGTGCTGTAAAACAATCTATTTGAAGAAACAAGAACACTGTATTTCAGAAGTATGGTTCTGGCCAACGTGTCCATCAGAGGAACACTTCTAGCCTTAAGAGTGTATGTTAATAAACTAAGTGTTGTTACACACAGACACTTCCCATCTGAGTTTGTGAGGATGGACCAGCACCCGCTAAGCATCACAAGTTCATTTCCTTTTCTTCTTCTCTTTTCTTGTTTGGTTTTTAGAGCCAGGGCTTCTCTGTGTATCCTTGGCTGTCCTGGACCTCACTCTGTAGACCAGGCTGGCCTTGAACTCGGGATCGGCCTGCCTCAGCCTCCCGACAGGAACGTGCTCATTTTCTTATTTATCCTTCCAAACTCCCACTGCATAAGGGAGGAAAAGGAAGCTCAGAGAGGATGTGAAATCGGCTTAAGGTCACACAGCTGGTAACTGATGCAGAGGGAAGTGGAGTCTAGGCTCCCTCCTCCAACTCAAGCTTCCTGCTACCACAGACCTCGGGTGCTGGGTACCATGAGTCATTTGTCTGCTTTTAAAATAGCTTCACATTGTTCCGGGAAACCATTAAATCACAGAAGCATCTGTTGGCACTTCTTGCAGGGGCCATGTCCATTTCCTTTCCTCCTGATGGTACTGCTTTCCAAATTTTAATAATTAGTAATCATTCTCCTTGAATAGACATTCTAAGTGTGGTGGGTTTGAATTCACAGATTTATTCTTTCTCTTGAACTTTGTTTTTCTTCCCTGAGGATTCCATAATGGCAATCCTGAAAATCCCATTATGGCTGCAACCACAACAAAAAGCATCCCCCGGTGCTGTGTGGGGGTGGAGGGATGTGGGCCATGGGGTGGGGTGGTTCCAAATGCAGTGTGCAGACTCCAGCTTGGCTGACTCAGAGGCTGGGCAGTAGCTCAGCCCAGGAGCAGAGAAACTACAGAGTGTGTGTGTGTGTGTGGGGCACATGGGACAGCGAGTTTCCCTAGGGTCTACTGTGACACACTGTCCCTTCCTGACCATCCCCTCTGGGATAAGGAAACTGAAGAGATGAAGGCTGCACACAGTCTCACCGCTGTGTACTAGGACCTACACCAGCTCTGCCTGGCTGCAGCTCCCATAATCATTCTATTGGCTTCCAAAGCACAGAGCGGCCCTTGCTCAGACACAGCTCTACTTGGAGACTCCCTTGGTATTGCACAAAAGGACAGTGTGGCCCTGAGCCTCATTCCTGAGTGGTGCTCCACAAACCAAGGCCAGAGGAGTTCAGCAGATCCTGGGGAGGGGTAGAGGCTCACAGGTATCAGCCAGTCCCTGATTCCCCTCTGTAAACACCCAGACTCTAGCACCTGCCTGCATCTCGGGCCCTGAGTGTTAGACTAAGGTGGTGAGGACAGGATGAGTGACTGGTGAGACCCGAGTCTTACGAAGCCATGACAGAACCTGTGTAGTAATACGTCGACAACCCTGTGCCCCCTCAACCACAGCTGCAGGAGTGGTGCACGTCTGTGAATAGCGCGTGAGTCCAGGGAAGCCCTTTCTGTGTTGGATCAGCCAATCACAGGAGATATTTCTAACCTAAAACATAACCCAGATGCTTGTTCGCGTCCCTTGACTCCATCAGACCTCAAGGCCTGGGGGCGGGGCTCCTGCTCCTGGAGTGGGTCCCCAGAGCAGAACACACACAGCTGCGTGGTGACTGAGAATGAAGGGCATTTGTGTAACCCGGCCCACAGCCTTGGGAGAAGCTTCTCGTCAGCCTCGTTTTGTAGCTGAGGAAAGATGCCAACTCAAGAGACGATCACCACGGGGCTGGGGCTGGGCTGCGGGTCAGGGGTAGAGTGCTTGCCTAGGATGCATGAAGCTCTAAGTGTGACCCCCAATACCACGTGAAGTGGACATGATGGCACACACCTACAATCCCATCGCTCTGACGGCAGAGGCATGAGGACCAGGCGTTCATAGTCATCCTTAGCTACTTAGTGAGTGTAAGATGAGACCAGCCTGTCAAAAAGGGAAAAAACAAAAGAAAAGAAGACAATGACTCAGGTTTACTAAGCACGTCCTACATCCTAAACGGAGAGGTGCGGCCAGGCTGTTGCTGTGTAAGGACGATGCTTCCTCCAGCAAACCACTGGGCGTCTTCTATAGACAAAGACCAGAAGCCAGAAGAGAACACATTGCTTCCCTGAGGCCACACAGGGGGAAAGTGGCCAAGGCAGGATTCGCATACAGGAGTTATTCACATAACTGCCATGTTAGTCTTTATGTCGCTAGGCCAGCAGCCCGGAGTGCCTGGACGTCAATGAGGCAGGATGGGGACACAGAACAGCTGAGCCTGGGGAGGGATGGGTACCCAGGCTATGGCTCTCTTCTCCTTATTTCTACTTTGGAATGAACGTTCTCCAGACTCTGGCTGCTCCCTCCTGTGATCCGTATCGGGCTTGCCTGGGCACATCTGTCTCAGGTCTGCACATCAGCGGCCCACCCGGACTTGGGGGCTCCGCCAGCTCCACCACACAGCCCCACCAGGAGCAGCAGCAGGATGTCCACAGGAAGGATGGTCTGGCCACCGCTGCCATAACCATGGATGGTAGGACCACCCTGCAGCTGGCCCAGTGCTGGGAGCCCATCTGGACTGGGATAGTACAGCTCCTGTTCCTCTGAGACAGCGACTGCGGCAGATGACACTGTGCTGCTGGCCCAGCCACCGGCTTTGGCCGCAGTGAGGC